AACCGCCAGGAAGGCACAGATGTGATCAGTGACAGAGCCTATCAGACACACGTTAAATTCTAAGTGAACCTCCAATATTTCACTGTAGCTACTTTTGGGTACATAACAGATGCAGAATGAAGCCTTTTCTCTATTCAACTTGTTCCATAAAACTTTCTCTCCCTCCACCAATCTAATGTATTGCATTGGCTTCTCTGATTCTTGTTGGTTGTTGAACTAAGTTCACACGCTACAACACACCCAACAGGCCACTGGCAGTAATTAAGTTTGTTATTAAATGACTGACAGCCACTGCCACAGGGAGGCAAATAGAGATAGATGAGAGGAGAACAGACAGGCAGCGGCTGATGGACTCCTCAGCACAGATCGTCTTTGCATTGCGCTCAGCTTTCAAAATGTGAGGTCTGTATGTTCTGCTGGCCCCTTACAAAATGCTTTCGGTACCAGGAGTGCACAGAACCAGGCACAAGCAGGGGATTACTTAAGATAGCTAATAGGAATCACCAAGGATGGGGCTTAAATTTAAATCCCGCCCTTAATCATGGAATGAAAGCCTAGCTGCAGGCAACCAGCAGGCACTTTCCTCAGAAAATAATTCAGTGCCTGAATTCCTCTTCTGAAGATTACATGCCTGAATTTCTGATTTCAAGAGGGTTGCTTATCTTTTCAGCTGGGTTAAAGCAGGCTCACCACATGTGTCGGGCATCTTTATTCCCTCCATCTTCCTCTGACCTTGCCCTCCCGGGAGTTCATCTATCTGATTTCGTAAGGTTGCTCTCTCAGTAAGGTTGCTCTCTCAGACGATGCCCAAGCTGGATCCTTTTAACACAGTCTTTAGCGACAAACACTTCCTAGATTTACTACTCATGTCCATCCCGGTTTTACAGTCTCTTCCCTTGTTCCTGCCAACCTGCAGCACGAAGCCATGCCTCTCTCCTGTCAGAACTATCAGAACTGCTTCTCTGCAAATTCCTCAGTTGCTCATCACCACACCATGTCCCCAGTGCCTGCAATGCTGGGCTCCTCAAGCTTCTTACAGACATCTTCCTCCTCACTCTCTCATCATTCCTCTCTCCATCAGTTTTTAGGTATGTTGCTCTCAGTGCAGCACAGCTCTAAAAGGTGCCCAGTCCTCAGCTGTCAGGTGTTTACTCTCTTGTCTTTCAAAACCCTTCTTAGCAGTCCCTGTTTCTCCAGGACCTCACACACACTTGTCGTAGGTCGAGTTTCATTTAAACTCCACAGGCTGGGGGATAAATCAGTATAGTGACATCTCACAGACTTGTGCTCTCTTGAAGCCACTACTTACTAGTATAAATTTAAAGACACATAATAGCATTTGGAAAGATAAGGGTCTGGTTGTAAAAATACTTTTGAATAACTAGGCACTAGTAATTCATTAGGTTTTTTACATATGAATTAACAGATAAGATACAAGTTTATAAAACAGCAATTATTTTAACTTGACATTTAATAACTAAGAAACTTTTTCAAAATCTCTCTGTGCTTGAAAACATGCAGTTACTTTTGATCATCCACAATAAACCTCATTAAGTGATTAAGAGAAGCTGACCAGTTAAAGCACTGGCTTCAATACAAACAGATGACACCACTTGATGATATGTCTGACACAGTCTGCATTCCAGACAAAAGCAAGTTTTGTGTTCACATCAAAGCACATATTTTAGACATCAGTAAACATAATAGATCTGACTGGGGGGATGTACAACAGGGGAGAAGGCCAATGCTTTTGCTTACATGTCTACACTGAAGTTTCAGGATTTTTCTTCTTCCTTCAAAGAGTGCAGAGAGCAGACTTTCACCAACTGGAGCAGTTGCACTGAACTGTAAACAGGCGATGCTTGAAAGCCTGTCACTGAGTCTCCTGATCAGAAATGAACAAACAGCAAGCGCTGAAGGACAGGCACGTACACACACTTAGTGCACACACCTTTGTGTTGTTTGGATTATTCAGCTACTAACTCAGAGATGGTAAAAATTCACAGCTCTGAGAGCCACTCTGCAGAGTACTTAGCAAACTGCTTCCGAAAGTACTTCTTGGCTTTTCAATAGCATGAGAAAACAAAGCCCCCCTGAAACTCCTTCCATTCTGTGTGTACGATCAGGGTGGGCAAGTGTCCTCAGTGCACCCCATAACAGGCAGGCTTCAGCAGCAGCATCATTGAATTGTCCAATAGCTTCGTATAACAAGGCTTGAAACATTCTGTCTCTGGCGCTTGCAGTGCCTGCAGGCTGATAACCTTTGGCCTCAGAGCCATGGCCTTATGGATCCAAGATAGGGTCACAAAGAGCCAAAGAACATTTCACAGCACTTTCTCTGTGCGGGTGAAATAGCAGCTTACAAACCAACTGGCAATTCCACGGAAAACAACTGATTTTCTCTTTAAGTGGCATACAGGGAAAGCACTTCTCTCTCGACCTGTGATCAAGGGAAGTGGAAGATGAGGGAAGCAAAACAAAATCGGTTTCTTTTCTATCAGGCTATTTCTCCATATGCAGCTCTAAACTTTCAGGCCAAATAAAGGAAAATTTCAGGCTAGCCTAAGGAAGAACAAAAAAATCCTGCAAAAAGTCTCCCTTTGGAAAGAGGTGGTGCAATCTGAGAATAAACCAGCAGACAAAAATGCCTTTCTTGCTCACTGCAGAAAAAGGCATCATGATTTTGAACTATGCACCGTGTGATAAATGTTTCATTGCCCATTGCAAATTTTCATGCATATTTTGTGTGGTGCTGCGCAGACACATATTAAGCAAGACTGAGGCACCAAAACTGTAGTTTGTGCTGCAAGCTCATTACTGCAAGGAGCAACAAAAGGTTTCATGCAGTATTTGGTGAGAGCCTGTGGAACATCACTTTCAGAAGAGGCCACATGAAGAAAAGACTCTGCTTCAGCAATGTTAATCTTTCCTCTTGATCTTCTAGAAATAAAAAAAGAAACTTTTATAAAATTACTATCTTGTCTATGAAAATGAGTCATACTGCTTTTTGATAAGAGTATCAGGTTGCTAAGGGACCCTCTGCAAGGTTTTGAGTACCTTGAAAAAACCATGTTTTTAAAGGTTTTGTACTACTTAGAAAGGACATGAGGAAGCAGATGAAAACAGATGAAAACTTGACTTAGCTGACTCTAAGACTGTGTCACCCAGGGAAATGTGAAGGAAATTATATAGCACGACTTTAATGATATGAAATTCATTTAAGTCAGTTTTTTGTTGTTTTGCATCCCCTTGCAGTCCTGCCCCTTCCAAAACCCCCAACCTGGATTTGTGCATGATTTGACTTCAGTATGTACAGTTTATGCCAGAAAATTTTACACACAGGAATTTGAGAAGCAGCAATAAGCACCACAGCACAGAAGGCTCCGTCTCCAGCGTAAACTCATTAGATTACAGCAAATAATTCAAGCCATTTTCTGCATTCATACTGAAAACTGCACTCGTTTCCTCAGCTGACTGTCTCTTCTGGGTCCTGCTCTAGTGCTCAAAGTTACTGCCATGAAAGGGAACATTAATTTAACTCCCAAATGAAATTATTCACAAGCAGTGATTTTTAATTCATCACGGGCAGTAAGTAGCTAGGTGTCACTGCAATCAAAGAAAGTAAGAATGTACCTCAGGTCTTCAGCATTCAAACAGAAATGAGTCCATGGCTCATCAACCATTCACACAGGTGGGACCCCATATGTAACAGCCTATTGGAATGAGGGAAGTGAGACAGAGAGAACTAGGATGTTATGATGCTGCTGGAAATCTTCCTTGTGATGCCCACTCCAGTTGGCAAATTCACACTTACCACACACACACTTCTGTAAAACCAGGGGAGGACATGCAAGGAGGAGTGCACCGACAGAATGGCTGGGGACTGAGCCAGTGTCATATCACACGTCTTTCAGGGTACTGCATGAGGTAAGTCAGCAGGCTGCAATTATTTAGAGACTATCAGTCCTAATGTACCCCTTTCCTACCTGATACCATAACTTGGCTGTACATACTCCTCAGGAAGAGCTGCCATCTGTCTATCTGTTTTGCTGCCACACTTCAGGAACAGCAGAATTGCACCAACTGAAATGAATTCTTTTTCTGGTGTGATAGCATTAAGGCTACGTGCAATCAACTTAAACTCCTCCCCCAGAGGAATTCCTCTCCCTTCCTCCATGCTGTCTCCAAAACCAGTAAATACTCAAGACCAAGGTCAACATTTATGCATCATTTTACAGCTGCTAAATGTCCTTAAGCATGTTATATAAATAAATCATACTACGCTATGCTACATGCTAAGGTGTGCAACAGAGCAGGGCAATTTGCTGCAGGTGAGAGATGCTCATTAAAGGCAATTAATAAGCACTACCTGTGCACTGAAGGGCACAGGAGCTAATTATGAGAAGACATTGTATACAAGTAATGCTTACAGTTAGGAAACCAAGGCATTCCTCACATGAAATCTCAAGGAGATGGGGGAATGACATAAATCAGGAGAATGATCGAAGCCAAGTGATAGCTACAGACACAGCACTGCTAAAATTAATGAACCCCACCAACTGTCCTCACTGTGGTTATTGGAATTCTCTATTAGCCAGACTTTATGAGGCACCCTAGGATGGGGCCAGCAATTTCCTTTAAATAGTAAGTAGTTGGCATCACAGGAGAGCCCTGTGTGCAGGGCTGGCATCAGCCTGCCAGTGCAAAACCTCTGGCTGGGGGTGTTGGGCTCACAGCTGCTGGGCATCGCGGAGGCAGGTGGGTTACACGGGTCAGACCCCCTCACAGTTTACATCCTGTTCAGTTTTCTTCCAATCATAGAATCATTAAGGTTGGAAAAGACCTCTAAGATCATCAAAGTCCTCCAGGACTTCCAGAATTCCATAAGGAAACACTAAGGAAGGCAGAATTTTTACATGCAAACTCTAGTCATCCCTTCAGTTTACCGGAATAATATTTGTTAAATGCTAACAGAATAAAAGACATTTTTCCACATGAAGTGAAAATGGTAAACAAAAATGGTTATTGGTCTCATATAATGACAGAGCAATGGTACGTAAAAGTATTGTATCTGAAGAGAAATAAACTCTCCCTGTTTATCATCAATGACTGCAATTATGTTGTCAAGTGATAGACGAGTGTTTTGATTTCCTCTTCCTGCTGTCTTTTTACTTTCAACTTATATTGTAAGCTTGACACTGTTTATTCATGTACTACTACAGAACCACTGAGAGGGGTTATTATTGAAGAGAATTCATTTTTCAGAGCAGTCATGCCATAAAGCCACAGGTACAGCTAAAGCTTAACCCTACATCCTCCTCCAAAGGATCATGTTAGTGATGTTAAAACCACCCCGCTAACCTGAACAAACAGAACAGCCTAAGGAGGGCGTACCGAGCTCCTGGACATGCAGACCCCAGCTCAGCACCTCACCCACACCACAAGAAGGACACAGAACTCACTGCTAGAGCGAGTCCAGAGAAAAGCCATAAAGATGCTTAGAGGGCTGGAGCACCGTGAAGCACTATGGAGATGGGCTGAGAGAGCTGGGGTTGTTCAGCCTGAAGATGAGAAGTCTCTGGGGAGACCTCATGGCAGTCTTCACAAGTTGAGGTAATAGAGCTTGCCAACAATTACTTCCTCAGCCAGACTGCAACATAGGATGTTGTCCTACAGGATTCAGACTTCTGGTTACACGTTCAGGTCCTTCTTCTTTAATAATCTACAGGTAATATGGAATAAGAACTTATTTTTATTGTTGCTGTTCTTGCTTGCCTGACGGCTCTAAACTTTCATTACTCAAGACACAGCAACAAAACACACAGGTATCTACTTGCAACAGAGCCCTTAGTTTGCCTTTTCAGTAAAGTTAACACATCCTTTTGCATGAGAAACTGCTGACTTATCTGAGACATGAGGACCTGATATTTGCCTACTTTTGTCTGCTTTTATATGACTCTTAAAAGCACATCTGCTCGATTAGCCACAACCTTCAGCCACATTGAAGAAGAATACTCAGCTCCAGCACCTTTGATAATGTCTAAAAATAGTTCATCAAGCACCCTTTTCTAAGAACAAATTTGTAGATGGGCTTAAAGCATTTGGTACCATTACACTTCTGAACAGTTTTGCTCCTTGAAATAAATTCAGCCTGCCTTTCTCTGGCTCCAAGTCCCTTCGTTAGTCAGGAAAGCAGTAAACAGAGATGGGGAGTATAAGGAAAATTAAATACAAAACACCATAAGCCTTTCAGCGCCTGATGGAAGAACAGGTCTAATGGATGTTTATGTTCCAATCTATATTGCACTACTCTGAACTCACATTGACAGATCTTATCCATCTCACTGCATTTGCTCTACTGAAAATACTTACCTTTGGGACATCAGTCTTTACTTGAGCTATGACAGCTCTTGTCTTTGGTGTTCAAGCACTCTTGATAAACTAAGATGGAAAACGTTTCACTTGCACACCTCAACAAAAAAAGAGACCTGCATAAGCAGCATCTGAAAAAATCATATGGCTCACACCCATCATGCATTTCAAAAGTAAAACTGAAAAGACTACTCTGACAGTATCTACGTTTCAACAGAAATTTTAAAACTGAACAAAGGGAAGGCAACATTAAGTACAGAATTCCCTGAATGACTGCAGTCATCTCCTGGACAATGAATCTAAAAAGTAACGTGAACAGATCATTGGAATGTCACTGTTTATGCCAAAAAGGGAGAAGTTATTCTCTTACTAAAGAAACTGGAATTGAAGTAGGTTGTCAATTTTCCCCTCACACTGAAATAATACCTGATACAGAGCTCACCTTAATTTACTTTTATAAACCTGTGGCTCCCTTTGAGCTCACAACTGATTCTTTGGACTTTGCAAGGCATACGCTGAAAGCAAACCCAAAATACAATTAGTCACAGGAGAGGATCCCACATCCAGGATATTCTGGCTGAGAAACCAAATAGGAAAAGATATCTCTCTGTATGGTCATCTCTGTCATAGTCCAGGATCAATTACCAAGTAAAACAAAAAACCAACAACAAAGCTCCTCAAGGAAAGCATGTGTGTGTCAGAATTATCCCCTAAACCTGAGCAGAACAGTGGGCTACATATCTGGACACTCCCTGATTTACGTGTGTTCCACAACAAGCAAACTTGAAAAGCTGCAACTTTAAAAATCTATTTTGCAATCAGGAGATTGAAAACCAATCTCCTCCCCAGGAAACAGCAACTATCTGAAACAGGTGAGAGGTGTCACTCACTACTGGTATCACAGCCAAAACACAACACCCCACTTGGTATTTGCTACCTGCTTTTTGCATCAGGTGTGCTGTGTGTGTGTGTCTGCACTTGCAGAACTGGTGTGACTGATGGGAAGGGGAAGCATGAAGGGGCTGCTGTTTCTTCAGCATTCTGGTGCACTTATTTGAATCACATTTTATATTCAACTGAATTGAGCAAAGAGGATAGCCTACAATGCAGATACACCAGTTCATATTTCCATACTACAGTCTCAAATGATCACTCTCAGTCTACTACAAGTCAGCAGCTATACAGAGCTCTTATAAGATGGTATGTGGTTTCTTCAAGCAATCACAAAAAAAAAATAAAACATCTTCAGTGATTGGAAGTCACCACAAAGGTACGGATGTCACCTTTTAAATTGGGTAGTATTAGTAAGGTCTTGAGAAATCTCATTTACTTTAGGTATTTGATGTCTTGTGTTGAAGCACTGCCACAGTATTAATGGTAATTTGTATGTAAATTCTTGAACTACTGTAGGACTTGTAAGTGCTCAGATGGTACAGACAGGCAGGTACTTACTGCTGTAGGTGAGAGGATTTACAGTGTTCAAAAGATCAAACTTATAAATAGTAAATCACACAAGATGAAAAATAAAAGGAGTGTAATGACTCCAGCTACTACTGAAAGGTCAGGTAGAAGAAAAATGAGCACTATCATTAAGACAAATCCCTCACATTTTACCTGCTTTCTTAATAATAGCTCTCCTGTAACAGCTTAAGAATCCAATACAGAGACAATGGTAGGCGTGGAGATATTTCTCCAGAGAGCATTCAAGGGACCCTCTGCGAAGTTCAGAACAAGCTGTTAGCAAAGATGACAAACAGGTGGCCCCTGCAGTCTTAGTGCTGCTTTGTTACTGAACGTTTCCCATCCGAACACCCCCTCACCCTACACATGGCCAGCATCATCCTCCCTCTAGAAAATTTGTTGGGTATCTGCTACCATTAACTCAACACAATGTTAAAGCAAAAGAAGAAAAGGAGCTCTGGTGAAAAGAAGGAAGCAAAACAAGCTTGTGCTGCTGCAGAGCAATGTGTTTTCTTGTTTTATTTTGGATTATTCTTCACAGATCTCCCCCGCCTTCTCTCCCCACACATCTCCTCCCCTAGATGCTAAGGCAGATTTGGAACGTTTTTTTGATTGATCAGAGTTGCCCAGAATACTTTACATAAGAAAGAAACAGAGTTTGTTAGCATTTAGAAAATGAACTGGAACCATCTCAAAACAACAGTTTTTCAGAAATGAGTAAGTTTTCACAGCCTGAGGCAAAGGACAAAAGCTCACTGAAGACATGCTATTTGGTGTGCTCTACAACCTGTCCCTCAGATTCACCGGTTGCTTTAAGTACAGGTTTGAAACTGACGGTGGGAAATCCAATTACCTGACCAAAATGGCAATATCTGAAGTGTTTAAGTCAGTTGGCCAGACTGCAATTCATAGGTTTTCTTTCATACAGAATTGCAAAGTTCATGAAAATAACGAAACTGTGTGTTTTCAAAGATGTGAAGAACATTATGTATACGTGACAGATGGATCCGTGAACTGGAAGATTTCCTCATCAAAAAGGTCTTCTGGTAGTTTTTCATCTCCATCAGCAAAAAACGTAGGGAACGGAGGGTTTTTATTGTATTCCTTGCAAGTAGGCAATTTGCTATCTCTGACCTAAAAAGCAGGAAAGGGAAGGGTAGAGTTAATAAATCTTACAGAAGACTTTCAGACTGTGATACACTAGAAATTAAAGAACTCAGCTTGCATGCATAAGAAAAAACCCAGGAGCATTCGCATTGCACTTGTTTAAAGAATTCCACGTATAATCATCATCTATTTTAACACCAACCACAGCTATTGAATTTAACATTCTGTACCCATCCTTACGGAGTTTGTTAAAAAACCAACAAAACTAAATAAAAACAAAACAAAGAGAATTCGTTGTAACAGTGAGAGAATCAAAACCTACTCTCATGAATTCATTGGTCAATATTTTAAAATGTTATTAAAATAAAAATATGGCTTGTTTAAACTGTGCTTGTATCCCACAGTACTTTCCTACGTGACATACCAAGTTATATTTATGCAGTGTAATCACCTCTTCAACAACCAAGACACGCATTTGTATGTATGATGCAAACTAATTACGGTAACTAATTTTGCAAAGATATGTGCATGTGCTGTATTCAATTCCTCTGGCTACCACAGAGCTGAATTAAGCATCTAAAATTCTTCACCCGGGAATCAGTACCCAAGTTTGTCAAACACGAGCCTTTAAGACAGTTCATTTCCAAGAACTGTGGTGCCACGGAGAAATTACTTTCCTTTACTGACCTCTCTACATGTGGAAAGATTTAAAATCTAGCCCCTGAAACTCCAATCTCTGAAGAAAATTAGTAGCTAGAATTATCAGCAAAAAGCAGTTTGTCTGCAGTAGCAGATAGAAAGCTGGTATCTCTGAAGAAAAAAAAGAGCTACAAATTCTTGAGCAATGAAATTTTACTTAAAATTAAATTCTTCGTTTCTATATTGTTACAAATGATCTTCCTTGCAAGCTGTAATAATCCCTTTCAGCCACTGTACTCAAGTGGATTAAAAAAAAAAGTACAAATAGATTAGACAAAAATTTTACTAGTTTTTTAGTGGTTTTTTTTACTTAGTTTTTTAGTGGGTTTTTAAAAAACAGGAAGCTTGTTTTTACTTGGTTGGACAAAAACCTCACATAGGACAATTATGATTTATGCCAAAAATTAAATAAAACAATTTTATGCCCACTGGAAGCTCTGTTTTGACAACACTCTATTTCCCAGATTCATATCTGCTATTACTTGAGCCTTTCTCACAGTCCATGAGGATTCCTGCAAATGAAGTGTACAATAAATTCAATGTTCCAACAGTTTTCTAAGTGCAGGCTTGATAAACAAAAGAAAACTTTTTGCTAAGAATGAGGAGATGAAGGGCTCAACATGTTGTACTGGTTAGCATGGCTAAGTAACTTTTCAAATAGATCATTCCTCTTCTACCAGACACCTCCCTATAAAAGTATTCTCTATTCACTTGTAAACTGCCACACAGAACTACTTAAGTACCTCCAGTTCCCAATTTACATTACATAGCTAGATGGAATAAACTTTGAAGTCCAAGTCCAAAGACCTTTACTACAACAGTTCCAGCAGCAGTGAGTTCAGAAGAAACACAGACAGCTTCAACAACGCCATCTGAAGGATGGCATCTTCAGAGATATCATCCTTCCCTTTCAAAAGTTGTGCCTGTTTCTTTTACTATATGAAAACATGTTTTAGTAACTTCACCAGTTATTACCCTTGCCCCTTTCTCTTTTACTCTCTAATCCTATGACACACCATAAGCCTTCTCTATCAACAGCAAACCGCCCCATGGTCTCTATGTTAGTAAGTACTAAGAAGACTAGAATAAATGATTTTATTTATGTTAACTTATTAATTTCATATAGCTAATGTATTAAAATGTTTTTCATGTCTACTTTTTGTTACTTTTGATGATTTTCATCATGAAATAAAATGTGTTGTTACATACAGGCTATCTCATTACAGGCAGTTTTGGACACCTGGAAAACGAAAGGAACTGAAATGTTTGTTTTCCTCCTTGTTTTTCCTCCCTTTCTTAAAATAATTTTTTATGACAGGATTTCGAAGCAAGACATCTGCTCTCAACTGAAGGCAAATCCAACAGTCTAATTTTAGTCCTGCATTAGTTTACCTAAATAAATGTAAGATTTCTGTGCAGACTTAACATTATATTAATGGCATATTAATGTCAAGGGACATTTTAGAGATAGTCCCTCTTGTGTGATAAGGAGAATTCTTAAAATAGTTTTAATATTCTCATGAAGCATTTTCAACAAACCGTTGTTGCTTTCACAGGAGTACAATACTATTGCATTTTACCCCTTCCAAACTCCTCAGAAGCTTGACAGATCCCAGAAGCACAGGCCATATCTGATGTTAAAATGGTTTCCTTTTCATATGCTCTTTCTTTTGACTAGTATAATTGACACAGTATTTCTTTTGACTGGTGAAAACTACTGCTCTTTTTCCATCTTCTTCTACATTCATTGCTTTCAAATGAAATTTAAAGCAAAAAAGCACCACCTTAGAGCATCACTACCAAACTGAATGAACATCCCTCTTTCTCCCTTGTAAATTTCGAGAATTAGGTATTATCAGATATTACCATTATTATTCCTATTAAAAGGAACAACTCAATTTCATTTTACATCTGAAAGTACCGATTTGCAACTTAAAACACAGTAGGAATTACGTGTCTTCTCAAGAGATTTACCGAATGATTCCCTTTACATTTATTGAAGGGTGCAGCATACCAAAGGTTACCTGTATCTAACACCTCAGATTCCTGCACAATAACTTCACAATAGTATAAAGGGGCCCAATGGCATGCAGCAGCAAGAGCTACACTTGTTTGCATAAGCATGTACACAGTAAAGAAGTACAGGTGACCCAGCACAGCTCTTCCTGTTCTCCTTGTAACCTCCAGAGAACAGCCCTAATAAAGGATTAAGTTTCCATGCTCCGTGTTACTAAAATCCAGTGAATTTAGCTCTCACTCACAGAAGGAATCAGGCTGGTAGTCCAACTGGTTATTACAATCCATAAAAGCATTCACTGTATAATTCAATATACCATAAATGCTTGGCTTACTCAACTGCTGTATTAATAGTACTATTATATTAGAGTATATTATAGAACACTATACTACAGACAGATGATACATAGTGTATAGTCTTTTTATTAATAAAATATTAGAGAAAGTTGAAATTGGAGCTGGTTGGGCTTTTGTAACTAAATCTCTGAACAGTCATAAAGGGTTTTGCAGATAAAATTAACAGACTGCACATATGCATGTCCCCTATACTGACAGCATAATGGGTAGTATAAACAAACGCAAATTCAGAAATCTATGACCACAAAAGACTCCATATTGTCTTAAACAAGCACCAAAAGTCGATGCTTAAGTCACAACTCACAGCTGTAGTTCAACAGGGCTTCAGGCTGTGTAAGCAACCATAGCAAAGAATTTAAGTTGTTTGCGAAACAGAAAAATGTGCTTAAATATAAAAAAAGATTAGAAATATTCTCCTCAGCTTCTCTATTATTTTTGAACCTAGACAGAAAATTTAATGCAAGAACTGTATCCATTTCAGACCAGCCTTATTTTGTCTTAAAAAACCCCCAACCAAACAAAAAACCCTCAAACCTCCACACAACTCTATCATGGAACACAAGGTATAGAACGGGGAAGATGAAAGAACTGAAGGTATCACGCTATTTCTGCGTGTCCTCAACCTGATCAGAGTATACCCAACTCAGGCATGAACAGCTAGAAACACAACACAGTAATATTGGAAATTGTGATACAAAATAAGTAGGATGCGAATCACTACAGACTTTTCTTAAAAAAAAAAAAAAGCTGAATGAAAAAGCAGTCTCAAGACTTAAGTTATTAGCTCAAGCAGAACATTATAAAGCAACTGTATACTTCAATTTAACTCAGGTCTAGCATACAAAAAGGCCAGTTCAGTATCTAACTTGCTAAGCAACTCCTATGGGTTACAAGATTTGCCAGAATTTCGGCTTTCACTACAAGTGATATACTCAAAGTGGTCAACACTGAATGTCCTAAGAAAACCAGTTGCCTTAAAATTAGGACAGTTATAAAACATTATCAAAGATAAACTGTAACATCCTGAGTTATAATATACCATACCACTGTACGCTCTCCATTATAAGGCAAAAAAAAAACTACTTAAAAAGGGAATTAAATCTTGTGCTTCTCTCTTGAATGACAGAAGAGAGAATTTTTGGTACTATACCTGGGAAATAAATCCAGAGCCATAAACTTTGGAAAGAAAAAACTATTACAGATGGGAACTATAGGCCCTGTGATCTAAGAAGATACACCAGAAGGAAACCGGTGTTACCTGAGGTAGGCTATCTTGATAGGCAAACCACACTAACTTACAAATGCTTTCTCTGCAATGTTACTCCTGTAACAGAAAAATTCCATGCATTCTAGCACACTGCTAAAATTTCTTAATTTTATTAGACCTTGAAATTGAGAAAGAAATCCAAACTTTTTTTATTAGTTCTCCAGTTGGCTAGAAATATTACTTATGTCAGTTATTTACCTGCATGTTTCAATGTGCAATATCAAATGAAAACTGACTTCTCATTAAACCAGAAATCCATCAATCCTAGTATTCTGCTGAAAATGAAACTTGAAAAATTTAAGTGCTTCATCTCTGTCTGAATACAGTGCTGATGCACTAAGTTTCCAAAAATACAACATACAAAATAAATATATGCTTTAAAGGTGCACTGTGGTTTTAATGGTTACCAAGCAACACAGAGTGGTTACTGAACACAAATGTTTTCCTCTTAGAGGCACATAAAGAGAGAAGTGTTACGCAATATTTCACTTCTTGTGAAAGACAGGCGGATTCAATTTCCCTAGACATTAGTCCTACTTAATTACAGGCAGGTATTTAGTGGAATGAATAGTAATTACAAATGCTAATATCCCATAATTCCTCTCCCCAGCTACAGATCTAAACAAATATACAGCAACATATTGAAGTCAATGTCTATAAGACAAATAAGAAAACATTCTGGAAGAAGGGCATAAGACAAGCTAAAAACACCACAGATAAATGCAGCAAGATTAAATGGAGAAAGAAAAACCAGAAATTAAAGAACAGATGTCAAATAGTATTGCTTTGCCTGATTTTATAATTAAAGTTTTTTCTACTCTTCAGCAATGTGTTTGAAAATATAAGGAAAAAAATTAATTAATACATGTAACTCATATGGCTTATGCAAGAAAAAACCCACACAATGGATTCACCAGCTCAAGGAACTGGAATAAACTGTTTCTGACTACATACTGCCTCCAATCTCCAAATATGTGAGTGGAGAAAATTTTTAGAAATCTATTTCTTAATAGCAGTAATACCTACTGCTGTGCCTTTATCTCAAACAGTGTTATTTATTATTAAATATCATGAAAGTTTGAGTCTGGAGCATTTTGGTCAAGATCTTTCAAATATTTTATTATTTTAATCAAGGAGCTCTAAGGGAAGAAAAGCTTCATTCTTCCCATGGATCCTTAACCCTCATTAATGGAATTAGCTGCAACTCTGAAATGCATTTGCCAAAATGTATACTCGAAGATACCTGGACTTCTAAATTGTAGATAACTATGACTTGAAACGTTTTCTATACCGGTAACTTACAGATAAAATTAATACAGATTCTGATATTGTAGACATCCTGTATAAGGATTAGGAAAGCAGTCAGAAAAGTGCCTTGTGCCACACTTAGTTAATACTAATGGACTAAGTTTACCTGAAAAAAAACAAATGAGCCATTTTAACTTTTGGTCTTAGGATAAAGTTCCAATCATCATCTGTGGTGAGTGAACTGAACAGAAATGACTTCTGGACATGGCAGGCACTTAAATGGTATGCAGCAGACTGCTACAGCAGTCCAAGCCCATTATCCTCTTGACATTGCAGATGTCAACATGGTAGTTTTACCGCTTATACTCGGGTGGCTTGGCCCAGCAATCTCCTGTTAACAGGGCTGTTGACTGTGGCAGCGCTGTTGCCTCAAGGATTTTTGTAAGCTAACAGCAGGACTGCTTTCAGAACAAAACCAGTAAATCCAGGGTGTTAACGGGGATGCTTCCCAGCCTAGACAAGAGTAACAACTGAATAAAGAAAAAGAAAAGGTTGAAGAAAAAGGTGAAAGTGACCCAATCGTGAGAGAAAGCACCCATGCTCTTCTCCAAGAAGTGAGCGCAATATCTGATCAGCAAGGGGACATCGATTTGTTTAAATGAGATCTTCACGGAGTACATAAGAATATGTGGTATTAACACACACAGTTTTGCTATTAAAAATAGTTTATATTACAGGTGTTTAATAAATGTTTGCTTTCTTAACTCACTGAAAATCAGAAATAAAAAAATAAATTTACTGAGTGTAGTTAGAATAAAAGTTATGATCTAGAAGAACTAGGTGCTGTATTCAGAGTGTTAGTGGCTTCATAAAGTGTTGTATTCTTACAGATAAAAATCTGAGATATTTACGTGCATTTGCCACCAAGCAGGGCCACTGTAAATGTGGATTTTAACAGCATGACTAGGATAACAAGATGCACAATCTTTTGCAACAATTAGCTCTTGCTTAAGAGTACTATTAAGAATTAAGAATACAGTTTGGGCATCAAATGTTTCTCAGTTTTTCAGCTACATTATTTTGTTTGTATACTTATAATTTAAAACTAACATCCTGCAACCGATTCCCACTTATTTAAACCTCAGACTAACAGGGTTCATGTCTTAGGACTTGAAAAATGGGACACAGTTGGAGAAGAGGTCATTTGGTCCAATACAAGGATGAAAAGCCAGCCAAGCTACAGTCTTAATTCTATATAATTGACGTAGTGCCCAGTAATTTTGCAGTTGTCCTGAAAACTACTTCTCTCATGGCCATCTGTTAACCAATTTTCACTATCTTGGGAGGGAAAAGGCTTGGGCTGGACCTTACAAGCAAAGCAGTTTAGAAATACTGCACTCAGAAAAAAGGCCTTATTTTCAATGAGAGAAAGAAGACTAAACTTCATTTTTCTGGGGGAAAAACACCTATTTGAAAGCTAGGGTTGCTGTACCTAAAGCCGAGTAACTGCAGAGTTCTGATTCACAACTAGGAAACACGGAACAGAAACTGGATGTCCACAGTAAAATATGACAGGAAGATAATAAACTAATTGAAAACATCTGAACTTGATGAACTCTGTAGCTTTTCAAAAACTGAATAATTTAAATGGCAATAATACTTCTGAGGATTTAAAACTGTGTATCAGATATACAGGTATATGTACATCAGAATCTTTATAATCATTCATAGCAAAGATGTTTGATAGCCTGTATTCTATTCAGTCTGAAAGGAAGCAACTTTCTCCAAGTAATTTGTGCTTGCAGATGTGTAGAATATACCTAATTAGAAAGAAAAATCTATTTTGAAAACAACCCTCAGAAGCGCTTTTCTTGCTTTGATGTGGATTATTTACACTGTAAGAACACTTATTAGACTCTTCATTGTTTCAATTTTTCACAGACAATCTTGAAACAACCTCCATAGAATTCGAAATTAATTCTGCAGACTGACACAGAAAACAACACTGACATATTTATATTGATTGCAAAGGGAACTCAGATCTTTATTGTGAATTCCTGCTGTCTCCTTCTGTACCTCAACTGCTCCTTGGAAAGGTAATTGCTATTGCATATGGGAATGCTTGGAATAACCTCTAAAGCAGTGCTTGCTGTGTATTTCTGTTCACAAATACAGCCCTTAAATAATATTCTGGAAATTTCACCACCATGCTACTGGCTTGAGTTAGCATTCAAAGGGGATGGATGTAGGCTGGAGACACTTACCAAAGGGTTTCAGCAACTGTGCTGGTTTATCATAAGCTACATGGGTGCACAGCCCCAGGGCAAAGCTAAGAATGAGCCATTCAGAGTGAGTGTGACACACTGCCCCTACTAATCACTCTCTTTCACAGAGCTGATTCTACTGCCCTTTAATTCAACAGTACTAGATGGCACTGAAGAAATGAAGATTGCATTCAACCAGTGTTTTTCTTTTTGTAAGAAGAGATTTGTAAAGAGTTCAGGAGTCACTAATATCAGTAAGTTGAAACCAGCAAACATACCTTCACCAGACAATTTGTGTGACCTGGAACAGAGCCATTTACATAAATAATGTCATGTATTGTGTTGATCCTCCACACCTAGGAGACAGAAAAAAAACCCAGACATTGAACCCTGTTTAGACTATTCCCACTTTTACAAACAGTAGTCCAGTAAAGCACAAAGTAATTAATTGGAGGTGGTACTCTGGGAAAGAACATTCTACAAAGGCCTAAACTGTCACAAAATTCGCTCACATGCCACTCTGAGTGCCAAACTTTCTCATGCAGGAGTCTGTAACAGTTTTGAAGGGCGGGTGATCAGGCTATATTTGGTAAGGCAGCTCTTTGTTCAGCAAACACCAACCAGAGCTCCTAAGCCTCTTTTTCCTCTAACAGCAACAGCTGTTGAACATCACAGGTGACAAAATAAAACAAATATCCTCATGAAAATGTTACTGTGAGCATTTGTTAATTTCTTAATTCAATGAGCTGCTCAACTGAACACAACATTTTCTGCTACAAAAAATTAGTTTCAGTTAACAGAGAACAGCAGCAGCACACGTTTTTGCAAACTAGAGGTCAATTTGCAGAGGTTGCCTTTGGAGACAGAGAAAAGCATCTTTAATAGCCCAGGAGCTGCTGTACAAATGTACCAATCAGAATCTGGACAGAAACTATAATCTCTTTTTTGTAAATGAAAGTGAAGGGTCATGATCAAGTTAGGACTTCAAACAACATCAACACAAGGCTACATGGCTGAGTCCATTGCTTGGCAATGCAATCACCCTATACACATTCTAGTATACTCAGAACTCACCTTTAATCCAAAACATGTCCTGTAGACGTTACCCATTTTACCTGGCATTTTCTTTCCGCGATAAACTTTGGAAGCTTTCTAGATAAAAACAAGGCCAAAAAAAGATCATGTTAACTGCAAGAGAAGCACTGGAGAAAATATGTTGATATTTCCAATGTTGAAAATATAATATTGAAAAAATCTAACACTGATGAGCATTTTAAATACCTCCTGCTGGAGGTTAGGTATTACTCTACATGTTATCTGAAATACTTGACCTCAATCATAAAATTGCTACATATACTGTTATATGAACAAAGAGATTCTAGCTTTGCTTAATACTTAATGTATATAGATTCAGAATAAAATCTGTACTCATTCATACTTGCACTTTGTGAAAAATCAAGAAAAGTTTTTTTCCCAAGATTCCTGTCAACACAAGTCTCTCACCTACATCACAGACTGCAGCAACTGGAAACCTGCCTGAACTATTGCCTGAATTACTTGTGGATGCTAACACAGAGCTCCAGAGCAGTCCTGCCCTAGAAGGCTGCTGAAATGAAGATACACTGTAGCTTCCCTCCTCCCCCTAATCCATGATTTTCACACTGATGTAAAGCAGATCTGTTTTAATGCATGTATTTTTGAGAACGAAATGTTAATTTAATTCCATTCACTGCTATTGCTTAGTTTCTGTATCCCATTTGTGACAGGCTGGGTATAAACTGGACTAAAAAGGTGGAAAAAAAAGGCAGGAATAAGTGCTATAATTTTCAATTCTACATTGTTATCAAGGGATTTGTATCCTGCACCTCTCTGTTATTCATTAATAATGTTTGGGCATTTTTTTAATTCTTGTGAAAATCGTGATTTCAGGAATCAGCTGCAATGCAGTTCTAGGGAAAGGATTCTGTACTGAAAAATCCTGGATTACAAAAACGTCTGAGATGGTCAACACTAGATAGGAAAAAACTAACAAGGCACTGTTTTTCCCCTATTGCATCTTTTCATCTTGTTTCTTTTTCATCTACCCATTTCCAATACTATTTTCCACTCTATACACTTTATGAAATTACATCCAGCATTACTGCTTATGAAATTCTAATTTAAATAAAAGAGAGGTTATTTTGTAATGGTGAAGAGCATCTATTAAAACAGTGTTCTGTGTTCAAATATTTACATTCTTCAGTGAAAACAAGTGCCAGGTGTAGAATTTTTTTCCAGCTGAAACTTAAGGCTATAAATCAGTAATGCATGCTTTTACACTCTCAATTACTCTAACTTCATTGCCTATTGCCCTTTTGCTTTTACTATTCTCTGAGCATTATTAATACTTTTCTAAATTTTAATTTCTCTAAGAAAATTATAGACAGCTCAGGTTCAGTACCGTGACTCAGTTGATCTTAATTAGTTTGCAAAAATTCCTCTTAGTTTGGTCTAAATATTGTACAGCCTTAACAGGACAAAGTTTAAATGTAATATGCTCAAAGAGCTTTTATACCAATTTTATTAATAGCTTGAAACGCAAAAATATGACTCTGTACTCTGCTTAAAAATGCTTAGAAGCTTTCAAAATTTTGGGAATTATTCCCTATAAGATTATGGGAATCAGTTCATCAAGCAGCTACACAAGCCAGGCAAGGTGACAAAAGCGAGTAGGGTTCCAAAGAATGGTACAATATCTGCAGTGTAAAATAACGGGCAAATCTTTTCTAATCTATAAATGGTCTGATAAAAGCTTCTTAGATCTCTCTTTGAAGTATTAAGACTATTCCTCTCAGCTATGCTACAAAATATGACAATTTGCTCAGTTGAAATAATGCGTATTCATAAACTGAGGCATAAGAGAACAGCTATCTGCATTGCTCATTATACAGGTTTCTGAACTTCCTTTGAAACTACTGGGATTCTCTGCTACCACAGAGTACATGTAGCAGCTAGATATTGTGAAATTGTTCATTTTTAGTATGCAGTTATAAAAACACTGAGAATGTTTAAACAGGAAATAAGAATCCTCACATTAGTAGATATTGCTCCCGGTCTTCTGTGAGTTTTTGTCTGGCCGTGGCTCGCAGGCTGACCTTTAAATCCCCACCTTTTCATGACACCTTGAAATCCTTTACCAATTCTGAAAACAAAAATAATTAAGAAAGAAACCTGGGTTAGTCAGACTTAAGGTTGTTATTTTAGCAATAACCAATAATTTCGGTCAGGCTCATGATCTTCTTACCTTTAGCAAAGCTCAGTAGAGAGGGGAACACACTTAAAATGAAAATCTGTATTTTATATCATAAACATATTGTAGCACAATGCTTCAAGAATAAGAAGCACTAGAAGAGAGTCAAATAGGCAAAAAGACTAACACAAAATGCTTCTTGCTGTGACCATCCTCAAGAAATGTTACTGCAATGAAGCTTTCATCGAGTGGACACCAGAACAAACACCCTCCCAAAAAAACCAAACCAAAAAACCAAAACCAAAACCAAATAAAAAGCAACTGTATAATAGCATACACCAAAACTTAATGACAGGTCCTAAGCATCAAGAGAGGAAAGAGATGACTTCTTAGACTATGATAAAAATAAATGAAGAAACATTTTCCATACTACAGTAAACTCATCTCTTGAAAACAGTTTTGTGTATAGTGAAAACATAACTCCCTTGATACATACTCAGCTAACAAATAAGGTCTACAGCACAGTAACAAATAAAACACATTTTCAGAGTCCATGCCCTTAATCTTTGAGGCACATGATACTATTACTGGCTTTGGAGTTCTCTATTTATTGCAGGAACAGACTCAACAGGAAAACCCACCTTATCACTGCACAAAGGAAAAGCCGATTAAAGTGTGTCTTTAAACTGGCATTGTCTGTTTCCAAAAGGAAAAATCTGACCACAGGGTTTACGGCTGCACTGATTATTTAATTCATTTACAAAGATGATCCTTTTCCTCCAATTTACAGAAATCTTTTCTCTGCTAATACACTTTGCAATGTCACAGTCCTATTAGTTCAAGCATTAGAACCTTCCAGCCAAACACAGAAGAATAAACCCATGTATGAGCATGCGTAGAGCACATTCTACAGAGCGACTGCATTTTGCTGACTCCCCTGCTCAGCACTACCATTAAAAGCTAGAGAAAATATACAAACATGGAATACAACAACATTCGTGAAAACTAGATTCTTTCCTCTTACCACTTGAGTAATTCTCCTCTAATTGCTGCCCTAGATGCCTTGAGCACGTCAAGCTACGGCCAGAATCAGCCACAAAGACTCTCTAAAGCCACAGAATCATAAGGAAACAAGAGCTGCTTAGAACCTAAGGATCAATCCCACTTAAATTTGGCAAAGAAAGACGTGTAATTGTTTGAATCGAGATTTATTGCATAGAAGCTCCTCAATTTTTTTTGCTCCTTACCTACAACTACGGAAATGCTAAAATACAATTTAAGTGGTGCTATGTTCCTTTGGCTTGCCAGCTGGCCAGTCATGCAAGTGGTTGTCACCAGAAAGACAGTCCTTCCAGGCCAGCAGACAGTGCTGGAACCTGAGGGTATGAAGAGGGTCAGGGCCATGAGAGGAAGCTAAAGGAAGGCACCTCCACAAAGGAGGACCTGAATTACCAGGAAACAGGAACACAAGACAGAAATCTAAAGGATGCAAGGCTTTTTAACACCAGTTTCCCATAGAATCAGCTTATTTTAAAAGCTCACATTAGTAAACAGCAATAGTTGTAAAAAAAGGTTTGAAAAATACATTTTAAGAGAGGCTCAAAACTTGTCTTTTCTATGTCTGCATATTGCTAGGGGATCAATAACTTTGAAATACATACAGAAACTAAGCCATAGGAAAACTCGTATCTGTTCTGCCAAAATGTTATTTTTTTCTTTTAAACTATCTATTACTGGCCATGTTTTCCACGTAGACTACTTCTGGCATCTCTAGCTGGAAGATGAACTTAACAAAGCCTCCAAAACCAACTGCAAGCAGGTTGCATAACAACAGCTTGCAGTTACTAGAGCGAGCAGATCGAGGGCATGATTAATTCTTTAGCTGCAAAAATGTCCTTGCAATTGAGAGAAAACCACACAACCTTAGAAAGCCATCAATTCAAAAGTAAACAGTACTGTCAACTTGAATCAAGAAGCATGATGTCATGAAACCACTTCAATATTTCATTCAGATTGCTCATTTTTAAACAATTTGGAATATTATAAATTGTACTTTAAAAAAATAAAATAAATACCTAATACTTACAAGAGATGTATTTTGAAAAAAAATGCTTAATACATCAACGTTTTAAGATATCTTCAGAAAGAAGTGATTACATCACAAGATAGAGTTGCTAGTGTTTAATGATTTATGTGATGGACTATGTTCATCTGCTTCTTGGTCCTTCCAATTACACACATATTTTCTGTGAACAAAGCCTCAGACTTTACAGTACCGAAGCTTTAGGAAATTTATAGGAAGTGTAACCAGCCTAAAAAAGAGCACTCTGGTAAAGCTGAAAATTCTCTTGGATCTGTTGATCGATCTGGAATATGAAAACAAATCTCCAACCTCTGAAATATTCTGCCTAAAGTCAAGGAAAGATATCACAATTCTGAAATTAAGAGTACTTCAAAATGTACAACATTTTACTATCTACCAAGGCTCTTTCATCATACTAGTTCAATAATGTTTCAGATTAGTTTCATTATTTATTTGTGAAAAACTGATTGAAAATCACTGAATAACCTACAAATACACTTTACCTTATGACTTAATTTACTTGGTTTCACTGAATGAAACATATTTACCTGAGTCCCAGAAAGGAATTGCAGGCAGCAATGATGAGATGAAAGACTAAGACACATAAATGTTAAATGAAAGTAATCCTTGTGCAGAATTAGAGTTTAATTGCATACAGTTATTCTACTCTCACCTGCAGGAAAGCAGGTGTTTAGGTCAACCGCCTAATTTTGTAGAAAACCTCATTTTCCAGGTTTGATACAAGTAAAATGCCAGTACCTAACGAGATAACTTTCATTTAGAAAGCTACTGGAATAAAGTACTCTAATGAAGTTTGCTGCTAACTCTTCATAGTTCATTTAAAAGACCATTATTTAGATGCCGTAAAGGAAGAAGGATTCCATCTACTTAGTCCAATAATTTCGGACAAATGTAGAACATACTTTCAGGCTCAGATTACACTGTTAACCTAGCAAAGCTTAAATAAACCATAAACACTCCAGAATCATCACTTAATACTGGTACATTTCAAATAAAACTACTGTTGATTTTTAATTTGGAGTGACAAAATTTCTCACGTTCCCAAGTTTTCCTGAAATGTTCACAGAACGGGTCATGAAGTGGCAGAAAAGGAGGTAAGATACAACTCCATGTCCACACAGCATTGGGCTACCATGGCAGGCATGGTCCCACCCCTCCCTATCACCATGTTCTGGTCACCTGTGTACTAGTGCAGAAGCTCACTCGGGTGATGAGCAAGCTGGGGCACACAACTGATCCCTCTGAAAACTAACCCAGAGAAGAATACAGGTATCTCGCACTGATCTTTTCCTTCATGCAACTGAGGACACAAGTACCAGCGACAGAAGGTCAATGGGGACTCTGGGAGAGAGCACCACCTTCCCTTTGGGCAGCAGCCTATGCCCTATGTCAGCTTAAGGAAGTCACCATACAAGCATCATAGATTGGCCTGGGTTGGTAGGGACCTTAAAGATCATCTAGTTCCAACCCCCCTGCCAAGGAAGGAACACCTTCCAATAGACCAGGTTGTTCAGAGCCCCATTCAACCTGGCCTTGAGCACTTTCAGGGATGGGGCACCCACCACTTCTGTGGGCAATTTCTCCCAATGCTTCACCACCCTCACAGTAATGAATTTCTTCCTAATATCTAATCTAAACCTACTCTCAGTTTGAAGTGATTTCCCCTTGTTCTGTCACTCCAGGCCCTTGTAAATAGTTTCTCTCCAGCTTTCTTGTAGGCTCCCTTCAGGTACTGGAAGGCTGCAATTAGGTCACCCCGAAGCCTTCTCTTCTCCAGGCTGAACAATTCCAATTCTCTTAGCCCTTCCTCATAGGAGAGGTGTTCCATCCCTCTAATCCTCTTGGTGACCCTCCTCTGGACAAGAGGTCAATGCCCTTCCTGTTCTGGAGATCCCAGAGCTGGATGCAGCACTCCAGGTGGGGTCACAGAAGTGCAACCTGTGAGAGAAGTGCTTCTGGACAGTGGTACAAATCTTAGCTCAAAGCATACCAGGGCTAAACTTAAGAATTGAGCTTTTTAATAGCTGAAAATAAGTACTAAGGAAAATATTTCAGCACTATAGAAGACTGACAGCATACAGACACACTGCCTAATGACAGTGCTCTAAAAGCTACTCATATTGTGCTGAACAAATTATGAGACTTCAAATAAAAACTAACTGCATACATCTTTAACTGAACCTTCTTGTTTCTGTGAAAGTGTTTTTCTGTACAGAGCTATAAATGAATAAAAGACTTTGACAAAAATATTTGTAGGGAAGATTAAAAGAAGACAACTAAAAAAAAAATACCCTACACTTTCGTAACAAAATGAAGATGCTAACCAAGACTTCTGAAATGTAGTGCAAATCCTTCATTCAGGCTATGATAACTAAGAAAAGCTTGCTCATTTTTAAGGACCATATTTTTGATTTATTTTGGTAGAAGGAAGCATCCAGAAAGATATCTTGCTCATCTGGATAATTAAGAGTTGGCAAAAAATTAAAATATCCTTTATATTATATTCCCCTACATTATCTCCTCATTGAGGTGACATTTTTTCTTTCTTTTTTAAAGGAATAATTAGAATTAATCATGCTCTTACCAACAGCACCACCATTTTCATGTACATGATTTCAAACATTGCACACACTTCGGTGTTTCCTCCATTAAAACAAAATTACTGTCAATCTTAAAAATGTAAAGTACATGTTCATGTAATATACATTTCTAAAAACTTTGCTACCAGTGATAGCAAGTTTTTAGGAATTACTCTCTTTTAAATCCACAGTGGTTTGAATTAGGAAGAACCAGGTCCCTTCCCCAGGTTGGATGGGGCTTTGAGTAAGCTGGCCTAGCAGAAGTGTTCTTGCCCATGGCAGGGGGGTTGGAACTAGATGATCCTTAAGGTTCCTTTCAACCTAAACCATTCTATATTCTATAAGACAGAAGTGGGAGGAAGGAAAGGAAGTCAAACTATGCTCCCTACTGTAACTCAGTGTTATTTTCTTTAAGTACCTTTCCAAAATGCCCCTATAGCTTAGGATCTTCCAAGTGCTTACAGCACTGCTAAAACTGGGGCTTTACAGAGTAATGTACAAAGGCTCACTTCGGCCTGTGGACCAAACCTCCCAAGGCCTTTGTTCAGCAGGGAGAAGCTGGCTTCTCTTGAGGTGGGTTCAGAACACAAACCTAACATAAAGCATGTTGTCATTTTTTCCCCTCACAGTGCAGCCCAAATGCTATAGGTCAAGGCTATAACCACTCCCAAGGTAACTTTTTTTTCCCTTCACTGAAGCATTTCTTGGATATTTTTGTGACATTGTGGAATCTGTACTTCCCGGTACAGTAACTACGAATCATGAATACACAGTATTCTGAAAAGTAAAAAAACCATGAACCTCAGGAAAGTATGAGACTAAGTAACACTGGATGAAATTCCATGGAATAAAGTAAAAGACCCAAAGAAAAACTGAAATATAGTAAAATAAATTAATTCTTACCCAAGAGTTAAGGGAATATGATAAATGAAGCATTCCAGAAAAGTGGAAATTAAGAAGAAAGTAACTTTAAAAGCAGAAATCAAAATGTGAGTAAGCCGCAGAAAAAGGTTAAAAAAATTTTGATACAGGAAGACTGGAATGATTAGACAATCATGTTGACAGAAAACCCAACTGATCTTTCTCTTTAGCAGAAAAATTTTTTCTTCACCTGTACAGAAGGATTACAAGTAATGTGCTACCAAACCAGCACAAACAAACAGCTAATTTCTGAAATGGGATCATACAAATACCTGGAGAAAACAGGTCAGAAATACTGAATTACAATTTAAGATGGATTCACTGAACGTGACCAAGAACTCAGTCTATTTTTAGCTTGCTAATATTTTCAAATACCAAGATACAAATATTCTGTGGCTGTTTACCAGTATCTTCTACATGGCAAAAAAAAAAATCCCTTTACTAGTTCTTGAAATACTTTTAGAAAAACAGAGCTTTTCTGCATTAACAAACAGTGACACTTAATCTTCATTAAAAAACTGTATTCCTAATGATCCTCTGTTTTGTTTTGCAAACAGGCCATTGTCTCTTACAGGCTGTTCACAGAATGCAATTTAGAAACAGAATGAACAACATGCCAGATCTAAGTATTATATAAGGAAGTTTGACATAAAAAAAATACTAATTTCAGTCAACTCCTTGACTTCCTTTTCTCAATAGGGTACCCTCATAAATGCAGTCAGGTGCTTGGTTTCCCCATATATACAAGACCCTGTGAATGATATTACACATTTATAGGTCATACACACATGTGAGACTATTACAGTTGGGTGTTACCTCCATTACACCTAAAAAAACTCCACAAAATGTTATCTTTGTATCACAACACAACAAAAATAACAGTTCACTGAAACACACAGATAGGAGTTCTCAGTGCTCTTGGTCAGTGGAAATCACAGATGTACCACAAGAGCCATGACTAGTCTTTGCCACAAGATGCCAATTTTTCTTTTGACACCCTCTACCACTTGAGCTCTAATTTGGCATTCACAGTGGTCTGAAAGGAAATCATTCCTCCCACATTAAAGTAAAAGATCATTAGCCACTGCTGGCAAGGACATGAGCTGGAATATGAGAGAAAACAGAAAAAAAAAGGAATTTGACAGCTCTGTTGTCCTGCTAAATGTATTCAATATCTTTTTGCTTTTTTTTCAGTCCACATGATACATCTCTCTTCACATCTCTTCACCAAATCAAAATCAAGCAGCCTTTTTGAGAACTGATGCCTTTCAGCATTCATTCCCCACTTCTACATACCACAGATGCTGCATTATAGATCTCTTTGCCCATGCTAAGCTTGAACAACATTTTCTCAAGCTGTTTGTCTAGCCCTTCCATGTACAAGTGACATATACAGGCAGAACCATCGCCCTAATAGTATTAATTATTCATCTTGTTCATAATCAAAAGTAAAGAAAAATAATTTTATATTGCTGATCCAATGAGTGGACATGTATTTCCTGTCACTACTCTTGCAATTGTATTTCAGCTTTTGTGATCCACGGGTTCAAGACAAAGTAGAGGGAAGAAAAAGAGAACCAGTCTCTTTGACAGATGAACCGCACGCGTTAAATCATTAGAAACCTACGTTTTTGCAGTAACATCCACGAACTGCCCTGGGCGGAAGTGAGCAGCATACAAAGGAGTACCTTCAAAAGAAGAGGAGAGATCATGTTCAACTAAGTGCTGAAGTCCTTAAATCACTATCCAGTCATTATCATACAGGGTAGATTACAGTCACAGCAAAGGAAAGAAAACTTATTCACATATTATTTATTCTTCTTTATGAACCTCACGGAGTAAGAGAGATGCTTTGTATTTACTACTGAAGCACATTTCTCAGGTCCCAGACCAATTTCAGATGAATAGGAAGGAAGGGCCAGGGCTCTACTGAGGTATGTTGTACTTCATACACAAAGCCCCAAACGTCTAATTAGTTAAGATTCATAATAAACACACTTAGCAAGAAAACAGAACATGCTGTACTTAGAACTACCAGAACTTTACAAGGTGGAGAGTTCTTAGAAAAACAAAACAAAAAACAATCAAGCCACAAAGAAAACCCACTTACTATAAAAAATGTGGTTAATAATAATAATAAAAAAAAGACAGTTTCGCAATGCTTTCTCTTTATTAAGACATGGTGTTTCCAAAGTAAAGACTATGGCAGAAGTACAGCCTCATCCACTGGGGGATTACCTATACATTAACTTTCAGCAGAAGTAGTGCTAATGTAGGTCAGTGACACCACTCACCTCACTGTAATTACACTAATTCCTTAAATACTTGCAGTATCAAAATATTACTTTTAGATTTATTTTGTCTTCAGTGATTTTTTTATCCAAGTGCAATATTCTTTTATTAGCAGTTTAAAAAAAAAACCCACAACAAACCAAAATTAATAACTTAGTTCGTAATAAATCTATATAGATCTATATAGCTGCATATTTCACAGTTTCCAACCTGTTTTACATCCATTAAAAAAGTGAAATTTTAGTTGCTCATGTCCACATCCATTCTCATGCTTTTTCAAATCTGTACAAATGCAAACTGAAATGATGTAAACCTCTCATAAATCTCAAGCATAAAAATTCTCATATTATGTCATGTTATATTTATATAATTCATACACACCTGGAATAAGATGCCTGTCAACTGACACAAAATCATGCATATAAAGGATGTTATGTACAAAATACATGCACTGCAAAACCAGTTTATTGAAAACCTGCAATTCTGCTTTATCTCAAGTTTTTGCTTCCATTTAGCATGTCAGATTTGATTTTTATCAGTTACCACACTGTCTTAAAAAGATCTTACAAAAAGCTTCACTAATGGCAAGGAAATACACAATATATTAGAATTTCCAACCCTACATCATTCTTCAGAAAATACCTATAATCGTCAAAAGTGAAAGCAACTTAAGTGCACTACCTAATAAAACCTTAGAAACTTAAAACTTTTTGTTAGATCTCCAAACTCCTAATACTGATTTTTAGTGAGAACATTAGTTATAAACACATTTTAGTGTGCTTTACTTTGCAAGCTGTCAGAAAAAACATCCTAAATGACAGTCATCAGTCCTACTTTTGAATGCAGCAAGAAGAAAAAAACCTCAAACTGCTCTTTTAGGTTCCTGAGAAACATTACCACAAAATTCTGTGTCCCTCTCATAAGGATAAAAACAGAACTTCCCATAACTGCATTCATATTTATTCCCAGACAGTGAGTCAAGGTTACAGACTTACTTCTTAATTCAATGTTCATATTAGTAAATTGGATTAGACTAACTTTCTAATCAATCGAAACATAGTACCCCAGAAAAAGGAAAAATCCTACTTCTCATCAACTAAACAATAAATTTCTAATTTTCCCTAAGAAAAAAGTATGTTTGTACTTAATGACAAAGAATAATTCAGCAACTTCCATACAAAACAAAAATTAAATACACGTCATAACTTTGTTTAGGTCTACAAGTGGCAGATGTTAAATGATTATGCATGTAATAATCAGCAACTCAAAAAATTACCTGGCTTAATTATGGCATCATCTGTTACATTAAATGTTGCAACTTTCTGCTTTCGTGGTACTCCAGCTTCTTTAAAAATCTGATGTGCAGACTCTGGTTTCTGTAACAAAAAGCAGCCGTAAAAAAGAAGTGATCTTAAAATACCCAAGATCAACCTAGCACAGAAAATGATTACAGACTGTCAACACCACTCAGAGGAACAGATATATCATACTAAAATTTTATCCTGAGAGTAGCATTTTATCTCTATATAAAATTTATTTAAAACTCCTGTCTCTGCATTTTATTTTCTGCCAACTAGTTACCCTACAGCTACATTATATAAATAAGATACATATGAAGATTTCCAAGATCAGAATCCTTTACAATATAAATAAAAGATACTACTGTTTTTGTCATGGCTTACAAAGAGTTTTGTAATAATTTAAAAATATGGTCTCTTTTTCAAAGCTACTGATGACTTAGTTCCACACCACCATAAATACAATTTATTTGATTTAACTAAGAAAACAATAGAAACAAAGTCTCATCTTGCAGAAAATTCTCAAAAGGTTTAACTTTTCCACAGAACAGAATTTTGAGTCTCTGGACAAAAAAAAAGAAAAATTAAGAACAACAAGTTTATGATTCATGTATTTTTAAGATATACCAAGTACACTCAGTGTCAAACCACTGCTGACTTAATAAAGTAGGATCTTCTTTTCAGAGGATTCTGACAAATTTAAAAGTACTTAATATTATTCTCAGCTGTTTTAAACAAGACAGCTCACAGAACTGTTGACCGTGAGATGAAACCAAGCAACAGAAACAGTAATGCAGGTAAATTGTAGCCATAGGAAAAAAGGAATGCCACTTAAATTTTCTTCAAATGAATTCTCCTAGAAAGCAATTTAAGTATCTAACAATACTGTCACACTAGGATAGTCACATCTCTGAGGTTCACTTCTCAAAACTTCAGCACAGTTCTCTCTCTCAAAATTTTTTTCTATGTTTTAAGACAAGATAATTTGGATAACTTAAAAAGGGTAACATAGTTTATTTGAAAACGCAGTTTTGAAAATTTGCATGATGTCCTTTCTCTTGTTTTCAAAAATTTGTTAAAAAGTGTTAGAACAAGAGAGGAAGTTTTATGAAGAATGAGGAAGCAAGATGATGAGAATCTCTTAGAAAAAACCCAGCAATTTTAAGTATAAAAATCTGTCTTTGTTTGAGGAGAAAGTGTGGATAGAAAGTCTTTGAGAGTGAAAAGTTTTTTCCTAGTGATTTGTTAACTTGAGTTCACAGTACAAAACACTTCAAATACCTTTAAAAAAAAAATCAGCTACATACAAAATCTCCCTAAGACCATGAATATTTGAGGCACCAATGGAGGACAACTGTTTTAATCTGTAGAACCATATGTGAGAATTAAAAATAAAGATATGGCCTTTCTACTAAGTGCCTGTATATGAATCCTTTACTTCCACTGTTATGTGAAACTGCTGCCTAAAGCTACAGCAAGGGGAGCCCTGTGCTACCACAGCTGAAGAAAAGCACAGTGAAGCCAAAGGGTAAAATTCACTTATATCTCAAGTCCTACTCAAGGCTTTAGCCTTGCACTGTTCTACTGCAACAACAGTTGAGTCAGAGAGATGTACTTTTACAAACAAAACACTGCAGTCTTTACAAAGCCTTCCTAAAAAGCAATATTGAGTGAATTCTCAGATGTTCTAAACTTTTAAAAACACCAATGATATCTTCCAGTATTATAGGAAAATGATCAATATGCCCTCACTTATGGGAAGCATATAAAATATTTTTGACCAAAAAATGTTAGAACACTGTCAGAACTGTACATTTGAAAAGTTTGCATTAAAAATCATGAAAAATCTCTTCACTTGTAGCAGAGTGACATATATCAAGCTAAAAACGAAAAAAAAAAATCTTGCTAAAAGTGCAATATTCCTTATCAGCTTTTAAGCAATTTGACACGCAAAAGAAATATAGAAAATTCTTTGTTAGTAAAATTACTGAGGGAATCTTTTGTTTGAACTCATTAAAAATCAGAAACTGTGAGGAATCTGAGGAAGACAGATGTTCCTATGAGGAACTAACAGAAGATAAATTGCTTATGCTAATACAATACAGTATCATTTACCCTTCTTTTAATTCTCATTTTCGACATTCCAAAGAGAAAAGACACACATAAAAAGGCTGATAAACATAGCAGAGCAGTGATTCAAACTTGCAGCTAAACCACAGAAATACCTCATTTGTTAGTACCTCAACAAGCAAAATTGCTCAGAATCAGCATGTCAAATTCTTCCTTAGGAATTATCTAGTTTATACTATGACAATGATGATAACAACAACAATAATACAGAGCTCAGTATAATCATAATACACAGTTCAGTCTCAGGCCAGGTCTTCACCACAGATCGGTCTAAGGATATTTAATTAATTTTTTATTAAAATGAATCTAAGTTCAATCAAATTAATTGAAGCTAACTTGGGAAAAGTTATGCCCAGAGAGAGTCATTAACATAACTCACACTACTAAAAAGTCCTTGACTTGACCTTTTAGGTAGTTTATCTTTGAAGAAATTTTCTTAGTTCATAGGAGCTATTTAAACAGAAATTTTCTTTATACCTCCTTACTTCCCACATGTTATGACTCTGACAACAGACTGAATTACTGCTAACATCATCTACTTGAGAAGAAGATCAACTGTAAGGAGTCTAATGTGCAAAATACAACTTGAAAATTTTTATTCACATAGTTCTTGCATGTCTTAGACCAAAGTAACATGAAAGAAAAAACAGAGCTGTCATTTTTCCAGGAAAAATGTCACATTTGGAAAGTGGAAATGGACTAAAGTGACAGGACAGACACCTGAAACTATAAGCAGCGATGGTGAAACATGGCATAAACCCACTGAATACCAGAGAGGTACCTTAAAGTATCAGCCTGCTCAAAATCAGTAGAATATACTATAAAGGTCAACAACTTCAGCAAATTAAAAGGCTCCTTCTTCCCTCACCTCTGGTAAAGCAGAAACAAGTACACAGATTAATTTTGAGGCTCTGGGACAACTGTCAGTTTGAAAAAGTGAAATCCATGTCCTCAAAAAGCCACAATCAGCTGAGATAATCTGCTTAGTGGTCATGAGCCCTGGATATTTTTTACTTGACTAAATCAGACAAATAAGTGTCAGGACACTGCAAGAAGCAAAAAATGGCATTTTACAGAAATAACGGATCACAGAAATTGCAATCCTTTGACAGAAAGCTTTGTTCCTACCTTGATCTATAACTCAGTTTTCCTCCTTAGAAATGACAGCTCTGCTAGACAACCTTAACCACTGAAGGTATCTGGGAATTCCACACCAGGAAACTGGAGTGTCTAAATGAGTGGTTTGATACAGCTCTTGATGAGCTATTACCATGAAGCTATCTTTTTGAAAATTTAAGTCTTAAACTTACTCATCAGTAAAACTATAGGCAAATTAAACAATGTCAACAGACATGTGGAAAAATTACAACTACACCTAATAAAACAGTATGGAAGAATAAGCTAGAGAACAAAATCTTCTAAACATCCAAAGAAGTTGGGTAAGTTTACAACAGGCCATTAAAGTGTGCATCTCGCAGTTCTCATCTTAATTGCACCTCCACAGACATGGTGAACATATGTTTCTACACTACTAATAGTCCTTCAGACCCTTTCACCAGCATAGGACACTGCACATCAAAGCAACTTCCTAAACCCACAGCTTTCCTAGAGAATCAAGAGGCAAAAGTTTCAAAAATTCTTCTTGCTATTCCCTTAACCAAGAATTTACAGTAGCGTTAGGAAATAAGCAAGGTGAATGTGACAAAAGATCTGTTCCAAAGCACAGGTGTCTGTCAATCTTTCAGAGAAGTCTACCTATGCTACTTTCATATTGCAAGGACAACAGAAACAACTATTCTAACAGTAACACCCAGAGTGGTTCACTTACAGAAAAAGGAGATACGTTTTTGCCTCCAACAAGCAGCTTAGCTGTTTTTCCACCCGAATCTTCCTTTGAAACGTATCTTAAAACATGACAATCTTGCACCTTAAGAAAAGGAAAAGTGTTTATTTGAGTATAAGCAGATGTGTGTGCTTTAAGACGATAGTAAGAGATTATTAAAACAAGTGAAATTAAGTCAGTCTCTGTTTTCATAACAGAAGATACAGTTTACAAATAGTAAGCTGTAGTGTTTATTACTTTTTTACTGTAGACATTCTTTTACCAATCAACTAAAGACTGATTTTAGGAAAAAAATATTAGTAGAATGCAAACTATTTTCATAAATGCTCTAGAAATCAAATAATCTTTTATAGCCATCTTTTGCATGCAATATCTGCAAAATCCCTTCTGTAAGCTTGCAAAGCATACAGTAAGAGCTGACATTTCAGACTCCTGCTCTTTTGCCCTGCAAACCTGATGTCCTTCACGGCACTGGTTCAACATACGGCAGCAACATGTGAGCAAAAGGCTTCATGACAATAGCAGCTGCCAGAGAATATGAAGAAGCAGCTTCAGGGCTACAAAGGCTCAGAAAACAAGGTGAAACTAATCCCAAAGTACCTGCAGGTGGCAAAATAAAAAAAGTTACGTGAGGTAGTTAACCTCAGCTTTATGTTGCCTCACCTAGGTAACACTGCTCACAGCTCTGCAGCACCTGAATAGCCGAAGCAGAAGGCAGACTGCTCCCAGAAAGTTCGGGATATAAACAGAGTGGGCATGATGTACTACCCACGACCAAAATCCTTTCTTTTGGGACTTCCTACTCTGTACAAGTAATAACTTTCACTTTTGACTGAAATGTCTGGCTAACGATCTGAATACAGGACAGGAGATGAAATTCATTATGATTTATTTCACCTTAAGTAATGTGACAGCATGTTTTTTTCCTGACTTGGTCCATATTGGCATCATTCCCAGTTTTACTGCAACAACACCAACTCTGATGGAATCTGTAGATTAAAACAGAACAGGAATGCAACTCCATACTTAATCTTTGAAAGGGTTCATTTCATAACTTGCAAAATCCCATTCATTAACTCTGATCTTTCCTAAGGAGGTGAAGGAGAGAAAACTTCACTGACTCCCCGCGAGTAGGCTGAGAATAACCTGTTAATTGTTTTTAATCCCACTAGCAGTGAAGTTCTATCTGTTCCAGTTGTGTTTGATAGAACACGCAACCAGTTCCCCATTAAAAGAACCAATACTTCAGACTCCCTTTTTTTTTAAATACAACACCCATGTTTTAGAGTCAAGCTAACTATTGAAAAGTTTACTGTAAGAGGTTCCTCCCACCCAATCTTTGCAAATCTGTATAGCAAAGGCAACATGTCAAGTCTGCCACCCAAATGATGTGACCCTTTTGGAGGCTCAAAAACTTAATACTGTGTTCCAGACCATAAAACTTTGGAATCACAGAAGTGGGATGTATTATATACCACACTTTTTCTTCAGAGTCCAGCAGTTTTTACAAGAACCTTTTCAAGGTCATATGCTTTATATTCTAAGGAGTCTTTTTTGACAAATTTTTACTTTATTATCTTGTCATTGTACAGCAGTCAGATAGGCCAAGTGCTGATACAGACTAAAAACTAAGAGTTCTTAACACCATGTAATATTTTGAATGCTTTTTAGAGAACTGATGTATTACATTTACTTATTTACTAAATGTATTGAATGATTGATGTAAAAGCAAAAAGGAGAATACTTTACAAGGCACAATCCTGATGTTACTGAATGCAACAACACAACAACAGTAATAATTTCAGCACGAGTTTGGTATTTCAGAAGAGATACTTTCTCACCTGGTGTCCACTCATTCAGTGGCCAAGGCTCATCTTTCAGAGGGCAGAGCTTGCTGGCTGTCTGAGCTTTGTATTCCTCCGCAGTTATCTTCTTCAGGAACTCCACATTCTCTTCAGAAAGATGCTCGTGCCACCACGTTGCACTATTAGTGTGCCTGACTAGAAAGCCCAGCTGTCCCCTTTCCAGTGGTGGGAAAAAAGTTTTAAGTGTCTTATCAGTTCAAATAATGTCTTGTGACACGTATGTTTGCAATGTAATGAATAACACAAATCATTACATGACACAGCATACAGTCATAAAGACCAAAATCATACTACCAAGGTAGTCAACCACCATCACTCAAACTGGCCACTCATGACCAAAACCACCTAATTCTTTGTCATGTTCTCATCTAACTTTTGAAGTATTCTAAAGTGCACCAAAAGGAAGCAAGCAACAACAAAAAAACCAACCACTCCTTATGATAAAAAAAAGCTAAGATTCATGAATGAGAAGATAGCAGTGGGTGTCTTTAACTTTAGCAAGGCTTTCTAACACCATCTCCTGTGGCATCTTTCTATCCAAGCTGGGATATTATGGCATGGATGGGTGGACTATCAGATGGGCAAAAACCTGGCTGGATCAGCTGACTGAAGGAGCCATGGCTAGTGGTTTGGACTCTATTAGAAGGCCAGTTACAAACAGAGTTTCTCAAGTGTCTATTCAGGGATTTGTCCTATTTAATATCTTTATCAATGACCTGTAAGAGGGGATGAGTGCACCCTTCTTAAGTTTGAAGGGAGCAGTGGATGATGCTCAAGGGTGTCCCTCTGCCAGTCAGAGAGACCAGCCAACGAGGAATCCAATGAAATTCATAAAGGAGAAATGCACAGTCCCATCCACATCTGGGATGGAATAACCTCTTGTGAGAGTACAGGCTGTGACTTTAGCAGAGCTGCTCCCCAGTTAGGCCAAGGACCTGGAAGGTCCTGGGGGCAAAAAGGTAAACAGGGAGCCAGCAGGCTCCTCACAGCAATGAAGACTAACAGCAGCCTGGACTTTATCAACAGAATCACAGTCAGGAGATCAAGGCAAGCACTTACCCTTTCCTCAGCACTCCAAATAGACCACATCTGCACTACTAAATCCAGTTTCAGGTCCCCAGTACAAATGGGATGTTTACAAATGAGTGAATCCAGCTGTGGTATACAAAAATACCAGGGGCTGGAGCACCTGCCCTACCAGAAGCAGTGAGGTAACTGGGTTTGGTTTAGTCTGGAAAAGAGGTGGCCTAGGGTGGACCTGACAGCAGCTTTCCAATGCCTGTGAGAAAGTCACTGACAAGACAAAAGCAGGTGATATTTACTGAGGTGCATGCAGAAGAATGAGAGAAGGGGTACAAACTGAAAAGGGGATTCTGATTTGACGTACGGAAAAAGTGTTTTGCCTGAAGACAATCAAACAGAGAGGCTGTGCAGTCTCTGTCCTTAGAGGCTCTCAAGGCCCCAAACCAGAAAGCCCTGTGCAACACGGTCTAACCTCAGAGCTGGCCACACTGTGAGAAGGAAGCTAGACCTCAGCTTTGAACTGAGCTGCTCAGCTCCCTTCCAGCCCCAACAATCTCTGGTTCTACACTCATCGCTAAACAGCTCAGGGTCCTGCCTTAATTTCTGTGAGGGCTCAGAAAAGCCAGAATGCTCCTCAGTTCTCTGCAAGGACAATGAGGTGGAGTGTTTAACGACACAAGCAGTGACCGCACAGGGCCAGGCCAAGGCGACCCAAAACACAGCAGGTCAAGTCGCTCACTATGCAGCAAAGATGCTCTGGATGTAAACATGCCTGTCCTGCCAGAACCCCCACACAGGCTGGGGGCATTTCTAAGGCTGAAAGGCTCCAGCAATAACCCGGAGCACCACCACTCGCAAAGCAGTGCCGGCAGGCTGCACAAAGAGGCCTCTCCAAGGGGTGGCGACCCAAGACGCCACCGAGGGCAAAGGGCCGCCGAGGAGCCCCTCACCTCTGGGCTGCGATAGGGGCCGAGCCACGCTCAGCCCCCGCTCCTCCCGCCGCTCCCGCCCCGCGCCCCACCTCCGCAGGAGCCCCTTCCCCTCCCAGCCCTGCCGCTACCTGTGGCCGGGAACCCTCGGCGCCGCCGCGGCCGCCCAGAGCCGCCCGCCGAGCCTCGCCAGCCTCCCCCAGCCCGCCATGCCGACACCGGGGCGGGGCCGCCGTCGCCTTCCGCGTACGGCGCTGCAAACCTTCCGTGCTGCCCCGAACAGAAGGTTCCGGCCCGCGCAGGCGGGGAGCTCGAGAATTAACATAAAAACTCCCGAAACAGCCCAAAGTCGTAGTCGTGCGTCATTCTCTCCCCCACAGGGCTGGCCCCAGCGGCTTCCCATAAGGGATGCAGCACCCGTGGCGGATGGGGCTGTTCTGACCCGGGGGGAACAGGTCACCCAAGAGGGTGACGGATGAAGACGTGCAGAAATAGCCATAGGCACCCTTTGCCCCCCGCCCCAACCTTTCCATCCCTACCATTGCTCCTGTCCCTGAATTCCTTCAGCGAGCCAGTGAAATCCAGCAAATAAGTGTCAATAAGGGGAAAGTGCCCGCGGCAGGTGGAGTTTCACTGCTGGTGAGCACCACTTGGCCACACAAGGTTGCAGGAACACAGACTCAAAACCTTCCTGCATTACACAGGTGTTGAGCAGATGTTTGGGGGTGTCTGGGAAAAAGCGTCTCTGCTTTGTCAAATATCTATGAGGTGTGGAGCTTAGCAGATTCGTGTGTTTTCTCCCAGGTAACAAGTGACAGGACAAGACGAAACGGGCCTCAGGCTGTGCCAGGGGAAGTTAAGGTTGGATATTGGGAAAAATTTCTTCATGGAAAGGGTGGTTAAGCCTGCCTAGAGAAGTGGTGGAATCACTATCCCTGGAAGTGTTCAAAAACCATGTAGATGTGGCACTTAAGGACATGGTTTAGTGGTGGACCTGTCAGTGCTGGGTTAACTCAATGATGTTGGAGGTCTTTCCCAAACTTAATGATTCTATGACTCAGTGATTCTCTGTGCTCCGTGCGAGTGGAGGCCACATAAGGGGGAGGGCCACATTTACAGAAGTAAATTTAATATTGTAGCCAGTGAAAGGTACTGGTAAAGTGGGTGGCTCAGGCAGCAGGTTTCTGGGCAGCCAGGCACAGCGACGACATGCTGGCTGGTAGGATAGTGAAGGGATATGAACACAAGATTCCCTTTCAGTTTCAGTAGAAGTCTCTTTTTTTAAAGACACATGAGTGTTCAGTGTGGTCAGCTGATATCTATTATGGTTTCTCTTTATCCTGTTACCTCCTCTTCTCCCCCGCTGTGCTCTGTGTGTGTGTATGTGTGCGTGTGTGTATGTGTGTGTTGCACTTGAGGCTTGTGGCCAGCTAACCAGATCCGAGAGAGGCTGTATGCACCTCTCAGTGGTTAACTGAGCAGAATTTTGCAGTTCACACCCAAAAATGTGATCCAGAAAACTACCAGCAGCCTACATAAACATCCCTTGTCCCATTTTTACTTCTTGTCCTTTTAAGACATAAACACATAGTGTGTTTAGAAATGCATCTCCCAAGTTCACAGTTCAATGGATATTTCCTCTCTGAGGTTGTCATCTCCACTATCACAGTGATCACTGCATCTTTTCACTCTCTCCTTGGCATTAAGAACAGCAACAGAGATGTTGCTAAATTTAATGCAGATGTGTTTTCTAATGGGGTTCATCAGTAGCTTATCCTGCCTCTCTGTATTCGGGGGGAAGAATGAACCTAAAAATTATTAAGGTGTTAACTCCCAATTTGTAAGCACTGTGACAACCTACAACAGTCCTTACCCCACCAAAGTCCCCAGGAAGTAGCAAAATGCTATTTGCTTCCATTTTAAAGATGTGGAACCAAGGCACACAACAAGATTAAGTGATTTGCCAAGCCATGACAGATGTTCCCAGCCAGAGAAGAGGGCTCCCTTGATGCTCTCACCTGAAGCTAGCCTTGTTGCCACAGCATAATGCTTTTCTCATGTAGCGTGCTGCACAGCTGAGGTGACACAGGATTTCATGCACCAGTAAGCTGGAAAGCAATACTGGGCAAACATACATTTTGGAGAAATAAGTTTTAGTGCTGTAGTTTTCTCCTTTTTAATATTATGTAAAATCAATTTTTTTTTTTTTTTTTTTTTTTTTTTTTTTTTTTTTTTTGGTGCATGCAGCTTTTCATGATGTTAAAGAGGCATGAACTTTGTGTGTGTAGGGGGAGTGGGTGTAGCAAGATGACTGCAACTCTGAATGCAATCAGATGGCAAACTGCTTGCTCTAATCAGTGGAACAAGAATTTAAGTGTCTCCTGAACACAACAGCAAAAGACTTTCTGCAAAGCAGTTGAGATGACTAGCACGTTTTTGGAAGGAAAGAAGAGAATGAAACATTAGAAAATAACCTTCCCCCCCAGTCTGCTGCCTTGGGTAGTCCTCATAATGGCAGGAATGAGGAAATGGAAACACTTTTGGACTGGCAGCCTTCCCAGGAGAGAGGTCACCTAGGTTTCACCTGATCAGTTTGGAGGATCTCCCCAGCTCTGCAAGGAAATTGGAAAAAAGAGAAAAGAGGGGGTGGGCATGCAGCCCATTGATGGTTTGCAGTGAATGCTGCAAGAAAATGTGCAGCTGGGCTGACTATTATCACTCATATAGCTCCAATTGCTGAAATTGCCTCTGGTATAGTTCAATTCTTCAGCCCAGGACTGCACATACAAGTAAGACCTATGAGTGAAGGATGAATGGTGATATTAACTCTATATTCCTTGGGGCAAAATGGCACTTCCCATAAATAAAGGAAAAAAACCAACCTGAAAAGTGTAAACCTGTGCTAGGAATCATCTGGCTTATCCTTCCTATTAAAAAAAAAAAGTTAATGTAAATGTACCAATGCTTTGTGACTGAAATGTCCATGCTACTTAGGAGTAAAGGGAGTTTGTCTAGTAACTCCTTCATGCCGGAAAGACTGGACATACGTTTAGATTTACATAGGAGTTATGACTGAAAGACCCATAATCCCAGGTGAGGAATATCAATCTGAATAACGAGTTCTTTCTGGGAGTTAGCCATGACTTGTTTGAGCAGCCAGAGAGCCAGACTGAAGGAGGTAGCTCTGTTTAACTCACCATCAAAGAACTTAGTGCAATAATGAAGCTCACAAACCACACGCTGTTCTATCAGAATATCTGGTGTGTGGGTAAACCTGAGGGATGCAGTTGAATACTGCAGAACTGCAGGGCCTATGTCACACAAATCTGCACAGAACTGGAGCCTTTCACCTGTGTGTTTGTTGGAATATCACCTCTGCAACCTGCAGCAAGACTTGGCTTAGACCACTGTTCTCCACTGCCTGCTGCAGGTCTCTAACAGATCAAACTTTAAACCTTTTAGCTGTCATCACTTATGTACTTTTGATATTTGGAGACTGTTTAAAAGATGTTTTAAAACAATACTAGTATTATAATTTTGTTTTTCTTTCATACTTGTAGACTCTTTCATCAAATTCTGTAGAACACTGTATTGCTTATGATGGTAAGAACTTCACATGGATAGATTTTTCCTTAGGGTAATAAGCGCTTGGCAGTGTATAACTGCTTTTTAAAAATTGTTGTAGACTTAGTTTCCCCTAAAAACCAAAGATACTACTCAGTTCAGTATCTGGCTCAAGAATAATAGATGTTAATGTATTTTGGGATAATAGGGTTTATGAATATCTTTGGGTTTTCTGGGACTTCTGGATTTTGAATTGGGTTTGAGAGACAGTAAAAAAGAAGACAGGATTACAGTTGGCAGAGAAGATATTTTAGATCATCAATTATCTCAAAAGGACAAGATACAATTTATTTTAAAGGAGTTTTCAGAATTTAAAACAATCCATCAAAAGGCAGTAGAAGTTTAAGTTTGCACTAAAAAATCTGCAGGAGAAACTGATGGCAGTTCAGCCTAAAGGCAGAATCGCCTTGCCAAAACCCTAAGTAGATAATACAGGAGAAAAATATGCTGTTTCAGAGATATATTCATACACTTAATGATATTACCCTGCAAAAAGTCCATACTATTTTATTGCACAGAGTAGCTTGGAGCAATGAAAATAACATTCAAAGCCTCATTAGAAAGCTTTTACCATATGGCTAGTTTTGTCTTCTGTGCATCCTATACCAACTCACCACACTATTACATGATTGTTTGACATGCTGAGATCTGTACAGATTGAAGGAGATTTCTAATTGATTTTTCAATATTGTGGAGGTTTCTCTTCAAATACCTGGAGGGCTGCTATGGAATTGCTGACCTATGTTAACCACTGATAATGATTTGTTTTTAAGTAGACAACATTTATAATCAGGATTGTGTGAAGTAAACAGAAAGATCTGCAGCAACTGGGATTCTCTTGAGGCACTTATAGAGACCAACTACACACATGAAAATGACTGATGGTTTATACAGCTCAGCATACAATAACCTGTTGATCTCTGTGTTTTATGTGATGCTACATTATAGAAGCACCTTGTAACACCTCTGCTAATGAAGAGCTGTAACTGCCCAATTCTGTGTAACCATAAACACTTCAAAAATCAGTTTAGTCAAAGATCATATGTACCAGAAGAACAATTTATCTGATTCCTAATTTTTCCTTGCTGAAAGCTTTCGTTTACTTTCACAGCCTGGCAAATAATAAAAAAGAGGCTTAACCCTTCTGTGGCTGTACATTACATCCCTAAATGCACATCCCAGGGTAAAGTAATACTCTTTAGATGGTGAGAGCACCATCATGCCTCTGAGGATCTCAAATCACTTTTCAAATATTGAAGTCCCCCAGTATTATTGTGAGATATTTATGAATACATGGCAGTGACCTTCATTTTACAGATGAGGAATCTGAGGTGCAGAATAGTTAAACAACTTGGCCAAGATTACAAAGTAATATATTGGAGGAGCAAAGAACATGGAGTCATTGATTTGTCAGTCATGTGCTTTAACGGCTCAGAAATGGTCCTTCTGAGAATAGGGAAGGAAAGAGAAGAAAGGGGGAAATGGGAGTAAGAAACTCGAGATGTTGTAGACCAGAACTCAGATTTGTTGACAGAGTGGTATACGAGATATAAAGGAAGATCACAGTAGCTTCCAGATGAAATACATCCACAGAGGGAGGGTAAGCTCTCAAA